GGGTGGAGACGAGAGGGCGGGGACATCCCGGTGGCCACCCCTGTCCCCTCTCTCCCCAGCTTCGCCATGGGCATCGAGTTCAGGGAGGGCTCCTTGGTCATCAACAGCAAGAACCAGCACCGCCTGAAGAAGGGTGAGGAGCACCTCGGCCCACCCCAAATCCGCCTCTTCCACCCCAAAATCTGCCTCTACCATCCCAAAATTTCATCCCACCACCCAAAATCCACCTCTTCCGCCCCAAAATCCACCTCTTCCACCCCAAAATTGGCCTCTTCCACCCCAAATTTATGTCCCATCACCCTAAAAATTGGCCTTTTCCACCCAAATTTTTGTCCCACCACCCCAAAGTTGGCCTTTTCCACCTCAAAATTCTTTCACCCCAAATTGTCCCACCACTCAAGATTTTGTCCAACCACCCTAAAATTGGCCTTTTCCACCCCAAATTTCTGCTCTTCCACCCAAAATTTGTTCTTCCGCCCAAAATTGTCCCTTTGCCCCCTGCAGTGTCTTTTTCCACCCAAAAGTGTCCCTTTCCACCCAAAATTGTCTTCCACCCCAAAATTTGTCCTTTTGCACACCAAAATTGTCCTTTTCTGCTCAAAATTCTTTTCTTCCACCCAAAATTTGTCTCATCACCCCAGAATTTGTCCTCTTCCACCCCAAAATTGTCCTTTCTCACCCAAAATTGTCCCTTTTTACCCCAAAATTGTCCTTTTTCCCCTCAAATTGTCATTTTTCCACCTCAAAAATTGTCCTTTTCCACCCTAAAAATTGTCCTTTCCCAAAATTGTCCTTTTTAACTTAAAACTGTCCCTTTTAACCCGAAAATTGTCGTTTTCCACTCAAAATTGTCCTCTTCCACCCTAAAATTGTTGGGTTTGTACCCCAAAATTGTCCTTTTCCACCCCAAAAATCGTCCTTTGCCACCCAGAATTTCTCCTTTCCCACCCCACATTATCCTCCCCCCTCCCCCAATTGACATTTTACCCCCAAAATGTTCTCTTTTTACCCAAAATTGCCTCTTTTCCCCCCAAAACTGACTGCCCCGCCTCCCGCCAGGGATGGTTTTCAGCATCAACGTCGGCTTCTCGGACCTGCCCAACAAGGAGGGGAAGAAGCCGGAGGAGAAGACCTACGCCCTCTTCCTCGGGGACACCGTCCTGGTGGACGAGGTGGGTCACGCCCTCAGCTTGACGTCGTTTTGGGGTCCCACCTCCAGCACGACGTCGTTTTGGGGTTCTACCATTAACCTGACGTGGTTTTGGGGTCCCACCTCCAGCACGATGTGGTTTTGGGGTTCTACCATTAACCTGACGTGGTTTTGGGGTTCCACCTCCAGCCCAACGTGGTTTTGGAGTTCCACCTTCTCCCAGACTTCAATTTAAGGTGGTTTTGGGGTTCCACCATCAATTTCGGGGGATGTTGGGCTTCCACCTTCAGCTTGAGGTTGTTTGGGGGTTCACATTTTTACCAACCTTCAAGCCAAGGTGGTTTTGGGGTCCCACTTTCAGCCCGACATGGTTTTGGGGCTCCACCTTCTCCCAACTCTCAAGGTGGTTTTGGAGTTAACCTTCTCCCCACCTTCAACTCAACACGGCTTTGGGGCCCCACCTTTATCTCAAAGTGGTTTTGGGGCCCTACCATCTCCCCACCTTCAACCTGAAGTGGTTTTGGGTTTCCACCTTCAGTTCCAGATGGTTTTGGGGTCCCACCTCCTCCCAACCTTCAACCTGAGGTGGTTTTGGGATCCCATCTTCAACCTGACATGGTTTTGGGTTCCCACCTTCATCTCGAGGTGGTTTTGGGGTCCCACCTTCATCTCCAGATGGTTTTGGGGTTCCACCTTCAACCCAACATGGTTTTGGGGTCCTACCTTCATCTCAAGGTGGTTTTGGGGTTCGACCTTCTCCCCGAGGTAGTTTTGGGGTCCCATATGTCTCCCCACCCAACAGGGGTGCTCCTTCCTCCCCAACCCCCCCTCTTCCTCCTCCTCCTTCTCCAGGAAGGTCCCGCCACCGTCCTCACCGCCGTCAAGAAGAAAGTCAAGAACGTCGGCATCTTCCTCAAGGTGACGCCGCGAGGGCCGAAACCTCTCGTTTTGGGGCAAAACGCCCCGTTTTGACCCCTTTTTAGGGGAGTTTTGTCTTAAACCCCCTGATTTTGGGGTTTTTCCTCTCAAAAGAACGAGGACGAGGAGGAAGAAGAAGAAGAAAAGGACGAAGCTGAAGATCTTCTCGGCCGCAGCTCTCGGGCGGCTCTTCTGACCGAGAGGACACGGGTGGGTTGTCCGACCGCCTTGGTGGGGGTCGTTTTTTGGAGGGAAAGGGGCGGGGTTTGAGGTCCACCACTGAGGTCATCTCTGAGGTCATCGCCTCCCTGCCCCAGAACGAGCTGACGGCGGAGGAGAAGCGCCGAGCCCACCAGAAGGAGTTGGCCACCCAACTCAACGAAGAGGCCCGGCGGCGGTTGACGGAGCAGAAGGGCGAGCAGCAGATCCAAAAGTAACCCGAACCCGGGGCTTTTTTGGGGGGGTAAAACGCCTTTTCCACCATTTGGAGGTCCTCAAGCGACCGCCGTCTCGTGGTAGGGCTCGGAAGTCCAACATCTCCTACAAGAACCCGGCGTTGATGCCGAAGGAGCCCCACATCCGCGAGATGAAGATCTACATCGACAAGAAGTACGAGACGGTCATCATGCCCGTCTTCGGCATCGCCACCCCCTTCCACATCGCCACCATCAAGGTGGGACAACCCCCAGGGAGGACTTTGGTTCTGGTGGTGGGGTGGGCCCTGGTGGAGGTTGGAGGGGGCAGTTTGACGTGGTTTTGGGGTTCCACCATCAACCCAACGTGGTTTTGGGGTTCCACCATCAACTGAAGGTCGTTTTACAGTTCTACCATCAACCCGACGTGGGTTTGGGTTCCAGCATCAATCCAACGGGGTTTTGGGGTTCCACCATCAACCCGACGTGGTTTTGGGGTTCCACCATCAGCTGAAGGTGGTTTTGGGATTCCACCATCAACCCGACCTGGTTTGGGGGTTCCACCATCAACTCGACCTGGTTTGGGGGTTCCACCATCAACTGAAGGTGGTTTTGCAGTTCTACCATCAACCTGACGTGGTTTTTGGGTTCCGCCATCAACCTGATGTGGTTCTGGGGTTCCACCGTCAACTGAAGGTGGTTTTGGGGTTCTGTCATCAACCCAACGTGGTCTTGGGGTTCCACCTTCTCCCCATATTCAATTTAAGGTGGTTCTGGGGTTCTACCATCTCTCCACTCTCAACTCAAGGTGGTTTTTGGGTTGCACTATCAACCTGATGTGGTTCTGGAGCTCCACCGTCCTCTGAAGGTGGTTTTGGGGTTCTGTTATCAACCCGACATGGTTTTGGGGTCCAGTCTTCTCCCAAATTTCAATATAAGGTGGTTTTGGGGTTCCACCATCCTCTGAAGGTGGTTTTGGGGTTCCACCATCAACCTGACGTGCTTTGTGTGTTCTGCCATCAACTCAAGGTGGTTTTGGGGTTCCAGCTTCAGCTCAAGGAGATTTTAGGGCTCAACGTTCTCCCCACCTTCAGCTCAAAGCGGTTTTGGGGTTCCACCTTCAATCCAAGGTGGTTTTGGGGTTCAGTGTTCTCCCAGCCTTCAAGTGATTTGGGGGTTCCACCCTCACTCAACCCTCAACCCAATGTGGTTTTTGGGGTTCCACCTTCAACCCGAAGTGGTTTTGGGGTTCCACCATGTCCCCACCTGCAACTCAAGGTGATTTTAGAGTCCCACCTCCTCCCAACCCTCCACCCAACGTAGTTTTGGAGTTCCACCTCCAACCTGAGCTGGTTTTGGAGTTCCACCTCCAACCCGATGTACTTTTGGGGTCCCACGTCCTCCCCACCGTCCACCCAACGTAGTTTTGGAGTTCCACCTCCAACCCGACGTGCTTTTGGGGTCCCAACTCCTCCCCACCGCTCCTCCCCCACCTTCCCTCTGAAACCTTCTCCGCACCTTCTCCCCCACCGCATTTTCGGGGTGTGCCACCTCACCCCTTCGTTTTTTTGGGGTGGGGGTGACCTCGGTCTTCTCCTCCACCTTGTAGAACATCAGCATGTCGGTGGAAGGGGACTACACCTACCTCCGCATCAACTTCTACTGCCCAGGCAGCGCCTTGGGACGCAACGAGGGCAACATCTTCCCCAACCCTGAGGCCACCTTCGTCAAGGAGATGTAAGCCACCGCCGCGGGGTGGGGTGGGGTGGGGTGGGAGGACGTTTCCAGGTGGTTTTATGGAGTCTGTGAGGTCATCTCGGCCTTTGGACCACCCAGAACCTACCGTGCGTCCAACATGAAGACCCCGGGCGAGCAGACGGTGCCGGCCCTCAACCTCCAGAACGCTTTTCGCATCATCAAGGAGGTCCAAAAGCGCTACAAGACGCGAGAAGCCGAGGAGAAGGAGAAAGAGGTGAAGATCCGGAAGGGGATTTTGTGAGGTCCTCTGAGATGGCGGGAGATCTTCTGACCTGTCTGTGTCTTCTCCAGGGCATCGTCAAGCAAGATTCATTAGTCATCAACCTCAACCGGAGCAACCCCAAGTTGAAGGACCTCTACATCCGCCCCAACATCGCCCAGAAGAGGATGCAAGGTTCTTTGGAGGCCCACGTCAACGGTAGGGACCTCCGCCGTGGGATTAGGGACCTTCCCGGTGGGTGGGCTTGGGTGTCCTCCCGTTCCACCTCGTTGTCTTCTCGGCCACCGCCGGCAGGTTTCCGCTTCACCTCGGTGCGCGGCGACAAGGTGGACATCCTCTACAACAACATCAAGCACGCCGTCTTCCAGCCCTGCGACGGCGAGATGATCATCGTCCTCCACTTCCACCTCAAGGTCTTCTGCTGCGGGGGGGGGGTGGCTTTCCAAGGGTTCGAGAAGGTCCTCGGACCTTCTTGATGGGTTTTTTTGGGATGTCCGCCCCTTCCAGAACGCCATCATGTTTGGGAAGAAGCGTCACACGGACGTCCAGTTCTACACGGAGGTCGGCGAGATCACCACCGACTTGGGCAAACACCAACACATGCACGACCGCGACGACCTCTACGCCGAGCAGGTTGGTCGGAAGGACCACGGCGGGTCCTTCTAGAACCTTCAGAGGTTGCCACCACCGTGGTGGTGACCTCTTGGCTTCCCTTCCCGCCGCAGATGGAACGGGAGATGCGCCACAAGCTGAAGACGGCCTTCAAGAACTTCATCGAGAAGGTGGAAGCGCTCACCAAGGAGGAGCTGGAGTTCGAGGTGCCCTTCCGGGAGCTGGGGTGAGTGGACACCAAGCCCACCGTGGTGTTTTGGGGAGTTTTGTCTTAAAGGTTCCACCCCTCCACGGCGTTTTGGGCGGCCCACCATGGGGTGGTGGGGTCCCACCATGGTTTTTTGGAGCTCCGCCATTGTTTTTGGAAGTTCCACTATTGTTCTCGGGGGGATCCACCATCGTTTTTGTGGTCCCACCATCATTTTTGGAGCTCCACCATCTTTTTTAGGAGCTCCACCATTGGTTTTTGGGGTCCTACTGTGGTTTTTTGGAGCTCCACCGTTGTTTTTTGGAGCTCCACCATTGTTTTTTGGAGCTCCACCATTGTTTTTTGGAGCTCCACCATCGTTTTTTGGAGCTCCACCATCGTGTTTTGGAGTTCCACCATCATTTCTTGGGTCCCACCATCGTTTTCTGGGGTCCCACTAACATTTTTTGGGGTCCCACCAACGTTTTTTGAAGTTTTAGTATTATTTCTTGGTTCCCCACCGTTGTTTCTTGGACTTCCCCCATGATTTTTTGGGGTCCCACCACGTTTGGTCTTTGTTTTGCTCTTTGCTATCTGCTCATGTTTTTTTGGGGATCTTCTGGGTTTTAGTGGTCTCCTCATATATTTTTGGGGTCTTGTCATGGGTTTTTGGGGTCTTCCCATGTTTTTGGGGGTCTTCTCTTCTGGTTTTCTGGGGTCTCCTCATGGTTTTTTCGGTCTTGTCATGGGTCTGGCATATTCTCATGGCTTTTGGGATCTCTTCCTGGGTTTTTGAGGTCTCTTCATGGGTCTTTGGCATCTTCTTGTGGCTTTTTGGGGTCTCCTCATGGGTTTTGGGGGTTTCCCTTGGTTTTTTTGCGATCTTCTCATGGTTTTTTGGGGTCTTTTTCTGGTTTTTGGGCTCTCCTTATGTTTTTTGGGGTCTCCTTATGTTTTTTTGGGGTCTTCTGGGTTTTTTGGGGTCTCCTGATGGTTTTTTTAGGGTCTTCTCATGGCTTTTCGGGTCTCCTCTTGGGGGTCTCCTGATGGTTTTTTTAGGGTCTTCTCATGGCTTTTTGGGTCTCCTCTTGGTTTTTTGCAATCTTCTCACAGGTTTTTGGTGTCTCTTTGTGGCTTTTTGGGGTCTTTTTATGGGTTTTTTGGGTCTTCTCTTGGTTTTTTGGGGTCTTCTCACAGTTTTTTGGGGTCTCCTTATGTTTTTTTGGGGTCTTCTGGGTATTTTGGGGTCTTCTGATTTTTTTTTTAGGGTCTCCTCATGGCTTTTGGGGTCTTCTTTTGTTTTTTTCCAATATTCTCATGGGTTTTTGGTGTCTCCATGGTTTTTTTGGGGTCTGCTTGGGTTTTTGGGGTCTTCTTGTGGGTTTTTTGGGGTCTCATGGTATTTTGGGGTCTCCTGATGATTTTTTTACGTCTCCTTCTGGCTTTTGGGGTCTTCTCTTGTTTTTTTGCAATCTTCTCACAGGTTTTTGGTGTCTCTTTATGGGTTTTTTAGGGTCTCCTCTTTTTTTGGGGTCTCCTTATGGTTTTTTGGGGTCTGCTCCATTTTTTGGGGTCTTCTTGTGGTTTTTGGGGTCTCCTAATGGTATTTTGGGGTCTCCTGATGATTTTTTTAGGTCTCCTCATGGGTTTTAGGGTTTTCTCTTGTTTTTTTTCAATTTTCTCACGGGTTTTTGGTGTCTCTTTATGGTTTTTTGGGGTCTCCTCTTGGGTTTTTTGGGGCTTCTCTTGGTTTTTGGGGATCCCCTCTTGTTTTTTTGGGGTCTCCTCACAGTGTTTTGGGGTCTCCTTATGGTTTTTTGGAATCTCTTTATGGTTATTTAGGGTCTGCTCAAGTTTTTTTGGGGGTCTTGTGGTTTTTTGGAGGTCTCCTGATGGTTTTTTGGTGTCTCCTGATTTTTTTTTTGGAGTCTCCTCTTGGTTTTTTGGGGTCTCCTGATGGTTTTCTGGGGTCTCCTCATGGTTTTCTGGGGTCTCCTCACGCTTTCTCCCTCCCTCCGCCCCGCCGGCAGCTTCAACGGCGCCCCGTACCGCAGCACCTGCCTTCTCCAACCCACCAGCAGCGCCTTGGTCAACTGCACCGAGTGGGTAAGTGGACGTCGACCCCCTCTCTCGGGAGGCGGAAAGTGAGGGGGCTGCCCCGGTGATGTCTTCTCCTCCCACCACCCCCCCAGCCCCCTTTCGTGGTGACCTTGGACGAGGTGGAGCTGATCCACTTCGAGCGCGTCCAGTTCCACCTCAAGAACTTCGACATGGTCATCGTCTACAAGGACTACAGCAAGAAGGTCACCATGATCAACGCCATCCCCGTCGCTTCCCTCGACCCCATCAAGGAGTGGCTCAAGTAAGCCCCGCCCCTTCCGCCCCGCCCCGCTTTGCCCCGCCCCTTCTCTCACCCTCCTCTTCCTCCTCCAGCTCCTGCGACCTCAAGTACACCGAGGGCGTCCAGTCCCTCAACTGGACCAAGATCATGAAGACCATCGTGGACGACCCCGAGGGCTTCTTCGAGCAGGGGGGTTGGTCCTTCCTGGAGCCCGAGGGGGAGGTAACAACGAGGGGGGGGTTGGCCCCGCCCCCTGGGTGGCCCCACCCCTGAG